AGGTTTAAAGGTTTACTAGGTTTAGGGAACTCTGGTGGCCTAATGGCAGTCTCGAGATTGTCACTCAAATCCACAAGATTTGAGGCCACCAGCTGCTCTGTGGGACAAGGGTGCACAGTCTCCTCCCATGTGATGACCTGGGTCGGTTCCAGCTCTGTGTACACAGTAACAGTGACTAGGTTTAAAATCATGAAAGGTGCGTGTCAGAGCTGTATCCTTTTGCCATCCCCATTCTGTGCCTGTGCTGAACAAATTATTCAAGAATTGGACTGTATGAAGAAGATCGTGGCATCAGGGTTGGAGGAAGATTCCTCAAATACTGACAGCATGCAGATGGCACAGTCTTGTTTGCCCCTGGTAAGGAGGGCTTGGAGCCTCTGAAGAAGATCCAAGACCATAGCCTCAGTATGAATTACGCTACAACATAAAACAGAAACCCTTATGACTGGAGGAAGAAGCAGTCTCATGATAAATGGAGAGAAGATTGACGTTGCCAAGGATTTACTTGAATACACAGTCCAGGAAGCAGGAAGCCAGGAAATCCGATGTTGCATTGCAGTAGACGTATCTGCTGCTGGGACCTCTTGGAAGTGTTAGGAAGGATGACACTACAGGCCAGTTGTACCTGACTCAAGATACGGTGCTCTCAGGTGCTTCATAGCCATGTAAAAGGACTGAATACGGGAGACGGGGAATCGATGCTTTTGAATCTTGGTGTTCACAGTAACTGTTGAATCTCTCTTGCATTACCTCCAGAACAAATCGAAAGAAATTGGAGGAAATGCAACCAAGGTGCTCCTTGGAAGCAGAGAGAGAGAGAGAGACTTCATCTCACAGGCCTGGGGCATGTTGTCAGGAAGGGCTGCCCCCCAGAAAAGGACCTTATGCTTGTCAAAGCGAAGAGTCAGGGAAGGAGAAGAAAATCCTGAACGAGGCGCATTGACTCCGTGACTACAAGTAAGGCGAGAACGCAGTGGTGGTTGTGAGGATGGCCTTGAGTCGGGCAGGATTTTGTCATCTTATATTTAGGGTTGTTTTAGGTGGGAGCCTACTGGCCAGCAACTAACAACAGAAAAATCCAGCCTAAGACAATACTTTCCCTGGACTGGGCTTTGCGTATCCTGTAACAGATGCAAATGCCAGAAACACCATTAAAAGATTGGAATCAAATATACTGTACCAAGTTGGGTAATTCAATGACATTTCTTCAGGCCAGGGAACATTTTACAGCCCATGGGGTACAGAAGTGAGCCAAGACACATCAAATTAAATGGACTTGGCCAGGTTTCGTGTCACTCTTGGTGCAATACTTCAGTAGAGATTTGGAAAGGGCAGTTGAAACATTTGGTCTCCAAGGTGGTTCTAGAGGATTGAAGACTTGGCTCACACACCTTCATGTGCGTGCTCACGCTCGGTGTGATGGGGACAGAAGGGGAATCCTGTGTTTCTTGCAGGCAGATTCTCACCACTGGGCCACCAGGCGGCATCATGAAGCTGGACACTAGGGATGATAGAGAACTGATGCCTTTGAGCTGTGGCGCTGGAGAAGAATATTGAATGGACTGCCAGGAGAACAAACAGGTTCATCCCAGAGAGGATGAGACCAGGCTACTGCTTGGAGGCAAGGATTCTGAAGCTTCATCTGACATACTTTGGACATGCTACATACAGGTTGAAAAGGTATTGAGACTGGACACATCCCTAACATACACCTTCCCAATTTCGGACCAGGCAGTGTTTCCTTGCTCTGTTCTGACGACTGCCTCTTGGTCCAAGTATAGGTTTAGCATAAGTACAGTCAAGTATTCTGGGATTCCCATTCTTCTCAGAGTCAGCCACAGTTTGTTGAGATCCACACAGTCAACACCTTTGCATAGTCAATGAAATGCAGACAGATATTCCTCTGGTAATCCCTGCTTTCAGCCTAGATCTGTTTCACATTAGCTATAATATTCCTAGTACCATAGCCTCTTCTAAACCCAGCCTGCACTTCAGGCTGTTCTCTGTTGATGTGCTATTGTATTCATGATAGGTGAAGAAAAGATTGAAACTCTCATCATCTTAATCTTACTTGGATCCACAATTAACACCCTTGTTACCAGCAGTCAGGAAATTAGATGTCTTGCACTGGTAAAGTCTGCAGTTAGGGATTTTTTCAAATTATCAAGGAGCAATGATGTCATTTTAGGGACTAAGGTGCATCTGATTCAGGCTGTAGTCTTTCCGATCACTTGCTCTGCATCTGAGAGCTGGACAGTGAATGATGATGACCGACGAATTGATGCCTTTGAGAGGGTGAAGCCAGAGTGCTCTTTGGAGGCAAAGATAATAAACCTTTGCCTCACATACTTTGGGCATGTTGCTAGGAGGGGCTGTTCCGTGTTCATGCTTGGGAAGGCAGAGGGTTGACGAAAAAGATGAAGACCTCTGACCGGGTGGATTGACAGTGACTGCCACAATGGGCCCTAGCGTGTCAGGAAGCGTGAGGATGGCACAGGATAGAGCAGGGTTCAGTGCGTAAGGTCACTGTGGGTCGTACTTTAGTTGACAGCACCTAACAACAGCAGTTGTTGATCTCACGTCCTCACAACAGGGACAGTCTAACACCCTGCAGATACTTTAGAATTACCACACTGGACTTTTCTCTGCTGGATTTAGTCATTTACTATGACCACACAGACCGTATTGTCCTGGGGTTCTCGTGCATTGGCCCCGATTCGCAGTGACCTGATGGACAACAGGACAGAGTGCCGCTTGATCTGTGTAATCCTTCCTACAGTCTCCATTCCCAAGTCCGTTCATTGTCACGGTCACTGTGTCCATCCATAGAGTTGAAGGTCATTCTTTTTTCTCACTGACCATTTACTTTTCTACGCAGTGTCCTTCCCCCGGGACTGCACCCCTGACAACATACCCAGAGTATATGAGGCAAAAGTTTTACTGTCCTCACTTCCAAGGAGTCTTTTGGATGTATTTCTTCCAAGACAGATTTGTCTGTCGTTTGCAGGTCAGGGACCATACTCTGTGACGTGACATGGTTTGTGAGGGAAGCAGGAGGTTGTAAAGTTGGAAGCACACAGGTGAGATCTCACAATGTCCCCTTGACTGAGGAGGACACACCGGCCCTTCTCTGGTGTGGGCCAGCTGTCCACGCCCACCCTGGGGTGCGGGCCCCTTCTCAGACCTGAAGAACAGTGATCACATCACTGCTGTGAGAACTGCTCCGTCCCTTTGCTGGATGACACTGGCCTGTCCCCTTCTTGGGATGAAGGTGACTCTGTTAATTTACCTGACAGCTGACATTTGGGCCAGCAGGTACTGCCTCCATCCTTGGGCAAAGGGCAGAGTCCCTTTCCTGTTACAGAACCAGAGATGTAGGGCACTTCTAATGACCTCCGCTCTAACTACTGTTACATGTTGCTGTTACGTGCCGTGGAGTCGTTTGCGACTCATAGCGACCCCATGTACAACAGCCCTAAACCCTGCTCTATCCTGTGCCAATCGCGTTGCCTCTGACACACCCATCCCGATTACCCCAGTCACCGAATCAATCCACCTCATAGAGGGTCTTCCCCTCCTGCGCTGTCCCTCCACCCTCCCAAGCATGATGTCCCTCTCCAAGGACCCGTCCCTCCTGGCTACATGTCCAAAGTATGTCAGACGAAGCCCCAGAATCCTTGCCTCCAAGGGATAGCTTGGTTTAACCCTCTACAGGATTAATCTGTTTGTTTTCTTGGAAGTCCATGGAACATTCAATACTCTTCTCCAGCACCACAGCTCAAAGGCATCAATTCTCCTTCAGTTCTCCCTAGTCATTGTCCAACTCTCTGATGATGCATAACAAGTGATTGCATAGCAGTCTCTAAAAATTTAGAACCAAGATAAACGGCCGTGTAAAGGATGCTCCTTTTGTTTTTTTGCTTTTGTTTTGTTACGGCTCACAGAGAGATTTCAAGAAAGTGACTGAGAGGTGGCCTTAGTGGTTGTGTGTGTGCTGGGATGTTCTGCCTCTGTGTTTCTTCTGTCACCACCCCTGTCTCTCGTTGACTTGTGAGAGTCAAAAATCTGTGACACATCCGGCACAGAGGCAGTCAGACCCGAGTGATTATCTGTGATGTGTTGAGGACAAGGACGGTGAACTGTGTTCAGGCTACACGCCCTCCAGGCTCTCTGCTGGGGAGAGGTGGGCGGCGGTGAGTTCTCAGAGCCCTGGAGACCCCTGCCCACCCCACAGCACTGCTGCTCAGAGGGCTGAACTTGACAAATGCCATGTCCAAACCCAGCCAGCTAAAAAACCTGAGAACTACGACTCGGTCCTCAGTCCTGAGCTGAGCGTGGTCTGGAGTGTCCCTCCATGGTGAATGACCAGGGGACATTCCTTTATTGCTCCAATGAAAGTATGGGCCGCACACATCAGGCCCACCTCTCCTCTGTGCCCTCCCAGGGGTGGGAAGTGTAGCATGTCACCCCTCGTGTGGTGCAGACCTCGGCTAGCAGACTCCAGTGCTCAGCTCCTCCTGGATTTGACAGGAGAAATGCCTCAGCTCACAGCGTTCCTGTGCTGTCCACCCCCTGCTCCGTCAGCCCCCTCACCCTCTCTGATCTTGAAGACCCTTAGATGAGGTTGTTTCCCTCAGCACATTACTCCCAGGGCCTGGGTCCACAGGTTGTCATGGTCCCAGACCTTCCTGAGGTCTGCGTTAAACACGCCATCTGCCTTCAAGGCTGTCTCCAGGTGCCAGGTCCCCACCAGTGTGCCAGATGAAAACCCCACCCACAGTACCAACCGTGACATTTCGCCTGATGAAGTAGTGACACAGAAACGTTGCTGGTAATAGGAAGCACTGTCTAATTGTCGGTGGACATGACAACATCAGCCCCACTCCTTGTTTAGACAGACTAGTAAGCTTCAGAGGGGAAAGTGCCACGGTTAGTTCCAAAGCTCTGAACGGCTCCAGGAGAGAAGGAACAGGGCGTAATCAGAGCCCTCTGGACGTCACAGGCCTGTGCTCCCACAGCCATGTCCCTCCTGGGCTGCTGGAGGGAAGGATGGTTCAGCCGCGGCTCCCGGCGAGGGGAGGGCGGCTGGCAGCGCGGCGACTGGCACCTCTCAGGGGTCCTGGGAGCAGGCGTCTGAGACGTGAGTTCTCAGCATTCTCTGAGGGTGTGAGCTCTCCAGAAAGGCTCCTCCCAGGAGCACAGTCTTCACAGGCTGCCCACCTTTCCCCTCATCTGACTAAAGCAAGTCTCCAAAACAAAAGCCCACACGCACAGCTCCAGCCCCTGGACCATTCCCCAGCAGGGATTCCATCCCAGGGCACAGGGCTCAGATCACGGGTCCCGAGGCTTCAGCTCACTGATGCACACAAGCTGTATTCCACCCCCTTCCAGTGCGGAGAGGTGTTCCGCTGGGGGCTGCAGGAACCTTTGTCTTCACAGATAGCCGCCCAGGCCTCACGGGAGACCGCCTTCCCTCAGCACACGTGCTCTCTGTTCTTGTTTCCCGGCTACTGGGAGGTTGAAGGAAGCTGAAGGTGGTCTGGGCTCAGGGGTCCTGCTGGCGGCCAGGGCTTCCGTGGACAATCCTTGAGATGATTCTCATGGCAAAGGGCCAGTGGAAGGTTGAAGGTGGGCTGCGGTCTAGAATGCTCACTGAGGTTATCTGGTGGTAGTGGCCAGTGGAGGGTTGAAGTGACCTTGGATGGGGCTCTGAAGTGTCCAGGGTCTAGTGTCCCCTAAAAGTACCTGTGTAGTAAATAGTGGGCTGGTCGAAGGACTGGGCTGCAATGAGGGGTGGTCCTTGGAGAGGAGTGGACCATGTGTACTACTTTGCTGGCATCTAGGACCAACCAGTGAGGGGCAGAAGACAGTGCAGACAGGTGGGGGGGGGGTCCAGGTGACGGTGAATTCAGGCTCATTGATTCTGGGGGCGAGTGGAGGGTAAGAGATGCAGGGCCAGGCTGGGTTCGAGGTCCACAGGCTGTGGAATCCAGGGGTGACGAGTGTGGATTCGCCAATCTGAGTGGGCTAGGGAGGGGTCAGAAATGATGAGTGACACCAGTGGTCTGCAGTCTAGAAGACAGGCGGGGGTCCATGGGACAGCACGTACGGATTCCTTGGCTCCAGGAGGTGAGGGGAGGACAGGAGACGGCGGGCCAGTCTGCGGACAGGTGGGCCTCCATTCGATGATGATGACTGCAGTTGCATGGACTTCCTCGACTCCAAAGGGGTGAAAGGTGGCGGCAGGTTTTTGCTCAGGGGTCCAGGGTAGGGTGGTTGGCTGAAGTGAGGTTCCCTTGCAGAGAGCAGAGGAACGAAGAACAGGAGTGCCAGCACCTTGGACACCATCTCTCCTGGTCCGGCCTCTCTGCGACACCAATGCCCTGCCGACCGGCCAGCTCTGCCTCCTAGTACCTGGGCCTGCGGGTCACAATGGAGTGCTCTGATGTCACCAGACGTCTGTTCCGAGAGGCCGTCCTTCACACTGCCCTGCCCGGGTTCTGACCGCACCTGTGCCAGCCCGTCTCTCCCTCCAGCCCCCACCTGAGTCCCACAGCATCCAGAGAACCAGGTCTGTCCCCTTCGCTCATGGCCCCACAGCCTCCCCCAGTACTCCTCAAATGTGCCCTCCGTTATCGCCAACCATGCTGTCCCTCCCGCCAGGAACCTCCGGAGCCCAGAAACGGCCCAGCACCAGCGTTTGTGGGGGGACATAGTCTTTATTCATTACTCATGTGCACGGAGATTGTTATGATTGGAATACTGGGGAGGGGGCTGGTTTCTGAACCTGCCCTCACACTTTACGTGCGTGACTCAGGCTTGGCTGTGGACAGCAGGGCCTGGCTGGCAGCCCCTCAGAAGATCGGGTGGTGTGGGGTCCCCTCCGTGGCCCGGCTCCCAGGGCTCCCATCTACACTGGCTGCGTAAGTGGTCAGATGTGAGGTATGTCATCCTGATGCTCGCCCCAGACTCCAGGGCGTGGTGTCGGCGCCTGGCACCGAAGACAGTCTCTGCCCCGCCAATAAGTTATAAAGAGACATCATCGTTTCGAGGCGGGGAAGCCTGGGGACGTGAGGTGCCCTGCTAGAATGACAGACCCTAAGCGTGGACAGAGGTGGGGACGGATGGACTGCCTGGAAGGAAGGAGCTGTCCAGGACGGCCGCTCCCTGCCACTAGAGGGCACAGCGGTCACTTCTGTGTGGAGGACAGGCCCCGCCTGGGCCCTCGGTGGACAAGGTCTACCAGGGCGCGGAAATGTGCCAGGGCCATCACATCGTGAGCTCGCCCAGACCCCTCTCGAATCCTGATCGGACCCATACGAGACACTCCACTGGCCTGTCCCCCTCGCCCGGGGGGCCCTGACTGTCCCAAGGTGCATCCTAGACACAGTTGTCAGGGGTGCAGTGAACCTCCTCTTCCAGCTCAGGACAGGGCGTCCCATCGTTGGCGGGCTGCACACGAACATAGCGGGTCCTGCTCTTAGTACCCAGCTTCCCACAGTGTCCTGCGCACATCCCCCAGGAGGACCACAGGGACACCTCGCAGTCCAGCGGCGTCTCAGGAGCTGGACAGAGGACAGAGCACGGACAAGGGTGTGAATAGAGGTGCTTAACAGAGGTGGGGGGCGCTCAGGTGGCCTATTGGTAAGGAGCTGCAGTTCTGTGCCTCCTTGGAGAGCAAGCCACAGGTGGATGGGACCAAACCAGCCTTCTGGAACACACCTGAGGTGCCTTCGGTGTGGCATTGAGACCCTGAGGTGGTCACATGTCTTGGGCAGCAGCAGCACCTGCCCCTAGCAGACCACACCGTGCTGTCCACCTCCAGCTGGAAAATGGACATTGTAGCTCTGACAGTGGCTTCCCCCTGCACTCGTCTGACCCCAGCTACCGTCTCCCCTGGTGCCCTCTACTAGGAAGATGGACAGGGCAGCTTTGACAACAGTCCCCCCTGTGCCCGTTTGTCCCCCAGCTGCCATGTCCCCTGGTGCCCTCCACCTGGAGTGTGGACAGGGCAGCTCTGACAGTGGTCCCACCCCCCGCGCCCGTCTGTCCCCCAGCTGCTGTGTCCCTGAACGGCTTGTTCATGTCACCTTCCCCTCTGTGGGGCTCACATGTGTTCAGTGCAGATGTTCATTTTGGTTTCCTGTTTCCCGTCTAGTTCCACGTCTTTTCAAGCATAACCAGTGAGCGTCTGCGGTCATTCGGCCACCTCGTCCTCTTCATTCCCAGGCCTCTGGGCTCTCCCCATGCCGCACCGGCCCCCGAACCCTGAGCAGAGCATTTTAGTGCTGCTTTGTGGTACCCAGAGAGGGTGGCAGATCTGTTACTAAGGAAACCAAGCTGCCGACCCAGTGGGCTCCAGCTGATGGCAGGACCAGAGGCGGCCTCTGCTGGTGGGTGGCATCGTGCCTTTTGTCAGTAGGGCTGCTAACCGAAAGGTCACAAGTTCAAGTCCGTCAGCCACTGCTTGGGGAAAAGCTGGGCCATCTCCTGCTTGGCGGTGGAGCCTCGGAAGCCAGCAGGGTTCGAGCCAGCTGGACCCCTGTGGGCTCGGTTCTCTTCTTTATAAGTGTTTCTGGAGGTGCCTCACGCACTGCTGGGCCTGACCCGTGGGCCTGATGCCCTCTCTTACGCACGGTCCGTGAATCGCACTGCATTTCTGTGGCCAGGCTAGGAGCTGCAGGGGGCTTTGGCCTGTAGCTCTGGCTTCTGGCTGGTGTCTGAGCAGAGTGCACGGTCCTGGGACCCACCTCCCCTCTCAGCTCTCACCACCTTCTGGGGTGCCTCACAGGGGAGCCCACCCGAGCCCAGGAGCCCCAGCAGAGCCCTGGCATGGTGCTCTGAGCATTGCAGAGACAGCAGGAGGGGGGTGCCGGGGGTCCATGCTCCTCTGTGTGGGTGGAGGCAGGTCCTGCACAGAGATACCCGTGGCTCTGATGCCCATGGCCTGTGCACCTAGTTAGACAGCGTCCTTTCTCGGACCCTTCAGGCGGGCAGACACGCGGCAGCTCCTGGCCTCCAGCGGAGGGTTCACAGGGCTGTCACCTGTGACCAGCTTGGCCCTGAGGCACACACGTTCCTTCTGGTCTGCCCTCAGCATCCAGACGGGGTTGTGCTGTGTGATGTCAGGGGCTATAGTGTGCAGCCCTCACTCCCACGCAGCGAGCTCAGCGTGCCTGGTACCTGCCCACCATTCTGGGAGGGCCTCGCCGGGGGTGACATTGCTTCTAGCCTCAGTGGCTCTGAGTTCCAGGCCAGCGGGAGAGGCCCCAGTCGCTGGAGGCAGCTCTTTCTGACTTCCCACGAGCGCAGCCCGAACCCAGAATCTGGAGGCGGTTCTGTCCACGAAGGGCTCCTGCAGCTCCGCTTCTGTCCTTTTCAGCAAGGACACAGACCCCATGTGGGCGTCTCTCTGAGGGGACCCCAACTCTCCACTCGGAGGCCAGAATCACAAGAAGTGCCTCTCCCACAGGCCCTGTCTGTGGCAGTTAAACCTCAGAGCCTGGATCGAGCTAACAGTACACATTTTAGAATTACATGAAGGATGGCTGTGAATCTGTGACTATGTCAGTGGACGCTGTGAATCTCAATTTTGATTTGTTGAACAAGATTCAGGCTCATTTAACCCGGAATGCAGACAGTCCTGTGGGGGCTAGAGGGGAGGTCGCCTGTCAGGTGAGCGCCAGTGGGACACCACCTGGTCAGGCCACCTGAAGTTACCCGCCTCACACTCTGTGGACATGCCTGCTGTGGACGGCTCACACCGGGAAGAACCCCCAGGAGCCCACGGATGGCCCTGCCCATGGCCCTGCCTGGTGCTCCTGGAGGGCCCTGCCTCCTCTCCCTCACAGGGTCTGATTACCCAGACCGAGGGTCGTAGAGCTCTGGCCTGGTGGTAAAGAGCTGTGCTGCCGGCCCAAAGGCATGCAGTCAAACCCACCAGCTGCTCCGCTGGAGAAAACTGGATATCTCCTGTGCGCTGACTGCTCCTGAAAACCCGCGAGAGAGTCAGTGGTTCCGACTTGACGCACACATCCGCCCAGCAAGGGGGTAATGGTTGTTGGGTCCTGTCCAGTTAACTCCCCCAGACTCACAGCACTCCATGGGACTGGAGGTCTGACCGTGGGCTTTTCCAGGCTGTTGTCGGGTGGGAGCACGAGCCACAGGGTGAGTTTGAACCGTCAGCCTTCCAGTTTGCAGCGGAGCACTTAACCATGGCACCTTCAGGACCCCTGGATAGGAGAGTGGCTTGCCCCAAGTCCACGGACTTGAAAGTTGCGTGCGCTGACTTCCTGCCCGGCCTCCCAAGGTTGCACTTGGATGTTCACCTTGGAGCCACCTTGCTGCATCGTTGCTCTTTGATGGTCATGGTGGTGCTTGTGAGGGTCGCTTTGGGGTGAGGGAGGGGCCTTGGGGGGGCCAGGGTGTGGGCACCAGTTCCCCAAGAAGCAGCTCCACTCTGCGTCCTGGCCCTGGCATCACCAGGACTCAGAGTCCAAGCTGCAGCGGGTGTGAGGAAGACTCTGGGGTCTCAGGACCCCTTGATGGGGCCTGCCAGCGCTCTGGTGCCATGCCAGCCTGCTCCCCAGGATGACACTGCCTGCTGCTGCACCCTTACCTGGGAGGGCGTCCAGGATCTCATTGCCGCGGCCGCCCAGGTCGGGAGTGGGCGGCACGAAGGCCCTGGGGCTGTGCCGGCGCCGCACCAGCGTGACTCTGGCGATGGGCGGCAGGGACTTGAGCCTCGGGTAGTAGAAGGAGTTGGCAGGGTGGCTCGGGGAGGAAGATGTTATCTGGTGGGAAGGAGGGGGAGAGTGAGCACAGGGACCCCAGGGCCTGCTGTGAGGGTCCGTGGGGCTCCTGGGTGCAGGTACCATGTGACCGGGTCCACAGGCCAGGAGACTCCCAACGGGGAGCCTCTTCATGATCCTGGGCCAGGGTGGCACAGTCTGTGACCCGAGCACGCCCTCCAGATCCACCAAGGTCCTTGGGCCCCCCTGATATGGGCACCTGGGCAAGTGAGCTCAGAGAAGGGGCTGTGGGGGGCCTCGCATGCTGGGCTTTCATCTGCTCTTCTCAGCAGTCCCACGGGGGCTTCTTGGATCCCAGGGTCCAGTCAGACAGCCAAGGGGCAAGAAACCAGGCTTGCTGGTCTGATGGACGCTGGTGAACCCCTCCCTCAAGGCTGTGACCTTCCCATAGAGTCAGTCTCAGAACTGAACATGGCCCATGGCTGAACTCCCAGCCAACAACGGGCAGGCCCGTGAGACACCAGTGCTGGAGAGAGCAGACCTTCCAGCCGCACCCGAAGGTCAAAGCAGCGTTCACTGTCACGGTCACGGTCATGCAGGGACCAAGCGCAGGAGGCAGACGGGCAGGGAAAAAGGGTGAAGGCGGACGGGGTGGCGGGCACGGTCCTAGTTCCCCAATCCTCATCCCACCCGGAGAGTGCGCCCCGCTTACCTCAGTCACCGGGCCCTGAGGGATGGTGGCAAAGTTGGGGGAGGAGAAGGTGAAGCCACTGTCCGTGCCAGCGTCATAGGGGAACAGATCCACGGAGATGTGGTCCTTCCAGTGGCCGCCCTCACAGAGGTCCAGACTGTCGACACCCACAAACCAGTCGGGGCTGGGCACGATGCGTACCACAAAGGAGACCTGCGGGGGTCAGAATGGCAACACGCTGACCTCCCCACCCCCCGTGACACTGCCCCTCCACACACGCCACGGAACTGCCCTTCTGCACCACGGCGCTGCCCCTCCACACACGCCACGGAACTGCCCTTCTG